TGGTTAAGTACCTTTTAAGCTTTTTTTTTCCTCAGAAGAAACAAAGTAGACATAGCAAAAAATATATCAAAAGGTGCACAATGAAAATCTCTTTCTGATAGACGAAGTTGTTTTAAAAAATCTTCTATAGTGGGGGAGAAATGAGTGGACAAAATCAACGCGCATTCCTTTCAGAACAACCTAATAGTATCTGGATAGGGGCTGCTTTGCTTTCCGAGTTCCGGTTTTCGTAATTTTAGTCTTTACTCAGATTTTAGTTCTGTTCATGTTAATTAGAAGAATTTTTGGATGAATTCCCGAGTATTTTCTGCTTTTTAGTATGTTGTGTGTTAGACAGGGCTAGTATGTTGTGTGTTAGACAGGGCCTGTTACATGTACGGAGCAAGGTCATTACTTGTTACTGTAAGGAAAAGACGTGGCATAAACCGTGGGCCAACTATAGTCAGCTGTAGACCTTTTTACTTGTTTTTCTTCTGAGTACTGCTGTGGTTGCAGTGTGTTCGGAATTTTTGGACAGCCAAGAAGGCTGATAAGGATGTGGGTTGATGGTTGTGGGCTGTCCCCTGAGTTCCCCATACTGGAAGCTGCCGTTGTGGGTGTTTTCTGGCATCCTTTGCGAACTGGAAAGTTATTTATTGCGATGTGATGTGAAAGCTAGTGGTTAAAGAAGCAGTTTGAACCATCTTGTTGAATATCATCCTAAAAATGGACTGTGCCTCTTACCGGTGTGATACAGCAAAATCTTAGTTTAACTGGACTTCTCCAATTTCCCTTCTTTCCACATTTATCTGCGACTTATCGACATTTCCTGTCATCAAATGGGAAATGCTGAATCGCTTATTTCAGGAGTGTAAAAGGCGATTTTTTGGAACTGTGAGGTGTTCGCAGCAGTTAGAAGGAAGGCGCGCGGTCACGTAACGCTTAGCTCGGAAGTGTATCATACAACTCGATCGCGTAATTGAGATAAAATACGCTTTTCAGAGAAATTGTCTTATCCCTTATACCACCTCTTTTGGTGTCCGGATGTGGCGCGAAACGACTTACAATTTTTTACAGACTTCAAAAATTTTGTTGAAAGTTTTTGTCAGTGGTTTAGGTTCAAGTATTTTATTCAGCCTTCAACAGCATTTTTTTCTGATGTAAAAATTTTTCTGATGTAAAGTAAATAATTACGTCAAATTAAGAGAACGTAGTTCGTGGCAATTACGCGTGCGGTTGCGTTGCGGTGAATTCACTCGAGTGCATTATGAAGAACGTGTTCATTTTCTGTTGATTCGCCTTGATTGCTCTTAATCAAATATGAATAATTCTTTGATCATTTCAATATTTCAGATATTCGATGCATTCCGTAATCAAACGGATTCTCAGCGAACATTTCGTGAGGTGATGTTTCTACAGGAATTTGGTCGACATCCGAATGTTATCAAACTGTTCAATATTCTCAAAGCTGACAATGACAGGTACGACGAAGCTGTCGATCGTGATGTTCAGTGTTTCGGTCGTGATTTCGAAGAGCTTTTGAAACAGGATATGATATGAGTGTGGAAGTTTTCTTGGCGGAGTTGGTTTAGTTTCGTAAATGACGCAACTCCTTTCCAATTCTTATACTCCCATTTGGGCTTGTTAAGTTCCCTACGGCCAAGAAATAGGATGGCTTTGCCACGGTAACTAAACTGGGCCTTCTCAGAGTAATTCAAGGTAGGGTTACTGTCATTAGACTCCATATGTAGGGTTCCTGTCATTAGGAGGAAATCTTTTTTCATAGTAATATGTAGGTGGTTTATAATACTGTCTTTTGCTCCGTCAGGCAAATATGCTACAGTCCTAACGTCCACCTATTGGAGGGTTACTCAATTACTTCCACCTTTGCTCTGCTTTCTTCTTCTGCTTTCCAAGCAGCGTTACATTAAGAATTTCTCATGGCTGACTAGTTGATCCATGAGTGTTCCTTTGGAGTTTTGGCAAACTGTGGGAACCAATAAGTTTACGGTACATAAGGGAGCCATCATTGAAAAAAAATTAATGGTAAATAGTTGATCGCTATTGTTGTGTATTTTTCGGGTTAAAAGTCCTGGGGACGTAACATTCACCCGATTCTGGACGTACGCGACAAACTGCGCGGCGAAACTCGTGGTGATCTGAACGACTCTGGCGCCTAT